AATATCAAAAAATTATAAATTTATTAATTTGTTCCTTTTCTATTGACTTTATCCTATATATATATACAAATTATTGATATATACTTAATATAATTTATTTTATCTGAATCAAAATTTGATTTTAAGTTATATTTATTATTTCAAATAATTTAAATATTATATTAGATCTTTCAAAATAAAAAATTTGTAATTTTTGCTGATTTTATTATCACATGATAATTTTGTTACTATATTATTTTTTATTTAAACAGAAAAATTATAATTATAAATAAATTAATTATTAATAATAAATTGTTTGCTTATTTAATTCCATTAAAATTTAATATTACTAATATTTTTTTGTATTAAATAAAATATTTTTTCATGACTTATTATTACTTTTTATTTTACTAATATTATGTTCAAATTATATTAAGAAATTATTCTTTAAAATCTTGTAATGCATAATTTTTTATTTTCATTTAGCTTGAAATACATATATTATTTTTTGCACTTGTTTATTTTCATTATCATAAAAGAAATAAAACAAAAAAAAATTTGTATTTATCATGCTAAATATAATGACAACAACACTTTCTAAATAAGAGTAATGTGAAAAATATATTTCATGTTGCACATTATGACATTTGGATTGAAGAAAGAGATAATAAAATGGCTGAGAGCTAAGAAACACCATAATGTTATTTTTTTGATAATGCAGGCCAGAATTATATGATAATGTGATCGGAATTAAGTTTATTCGAAAATTCGCGGAATATCCTGTACGCTCAGTTTCGATAAATATTAGTGTTGTATTAGTATGATCGTGTCCATTTTCCCTAATTTTGGTCACGATTTAAGTCACGTGGTATATACTATATGGAATCTGCCGATTTCCAAACCAGCAAAAAAATTTACCGCGTATTATTTTTTATTCTTATTTTCGCTTTCCTTTGATGTAACGTATTTTTTTATACAGTAAGTCCTTTCTTTCCACGTTTCGGCAAACATGCTTGTAAGACCATATGATTCAACTCGCATTTCTTTCAGTGTCAAGAAACGTATATAAATACTTCGAACGCGTAACTTCCGGGTTTTTTAAACGAGTGTGATCTTGAACCATTCGAACAGAAAATAAATTGTTACCTTTCAAGCCTCGAAAATCTTGCTAATGGTGAGAAAGACTCCAGGCGCATAAAAGCACAAACGTTGCTTGATAAGTATAGAGAAGTAAATATAAGCTTTTTATTGAAAATGCACGAATCGAGTAGTGGTGTTGGAACGCAGGTGACCTCCCAGGTTGCCTGACGTTCAGGCAGGGTTGGAGCGCAGGTGACTTTCTAGGTTTCCTGACGTTCAGGGCTTCTAGCCGATCCAACACTGGCCCCGTTGAGGTGCTGAGTGACTTTCTAGGTTTCTAGCCGAGCTCAGCGGATGGGATCCTTTAATATTCGTTGTCATCCAAAATTTTCAAGATAATTTTATTAACACTATAACTGAACATATGATGATACTCGTCCTGACTGTGAATTAGCAAGAAAATGGGAGAAAGAAAGTGTTTATTTATAAGCAAATTCATATCCACCAGCCAGTCAACGGAAATGTAAATGTGATCGGGAATGTAAACAGTAATAAAAATGCCAAAGTTTCAGTTGCAGGGCCGTTCTCGAAGAAAAGAGATCAGGAAAAGGTACAGATATGCTTTTTTTTTTTTAGCTAGAAGCTGAGAACCAGCAGAATTAATCATGTTGTATTTTAATACTTTAGAACGATCATGAAGAGAGTCGAATTAGAAATGGAAGAATAGTAGCGGAAGAGAATAATGTAAGTTCATGATACCTCCAATGTTATTTTTATGTATTATATTTCATGATATTAACCTTGTATTTCTGTAGGGTTTGAATGACGAGGTCGACAATTTCTTCAAAAGTCCCCCTGAAACTGAAAAACAATCGAACCAACCTGTTTAAGAAACGGCTGAAATCGGAAGCAGACAGCGAGAAGGACGACAATGTATGGTAGTTCGCATGGAGAATGTGTTCATTTACCAAGGTATTGCATGATAATCTTTTGATTTTTAGGTTCACAACTTCACTTCCATATTCCATATTCTTTTCTAGTGATACCGATGATGCAAAGCCCGCACCACTGTTACTTCCATCAAAGCTAAAGTGTTTTGTCGAGTCTTATACAGGGATGAATAGTCCAAGAAGTGGACATTGATTGCCTTGGGTACATATGTCGAAGATGTTCTCTTCCGTGAAGGAAATTCATTGTCTGTTGGATCTCTTGTACATTCTTGGGCAATTGATTGATTTGACTGGGAGACTAAAAGGTTACTGAAGAGGATTGGTGTGAAATTGGTGAAAATGTTGCCAGATCATTATCAAGATTTAGGAATGTAAGTAGAGATGGCGCAGCAAGTATGTGACGCTTATTTGTCACCTGTTGCAACACGTTGCAACTCCAAAATTTTATA